ATAACTAAGGTTCAAAACTGTCCAAGTTATTTTTTACAATGGGGGTTAAGGTGGGAAACATTGACAACCTCAAGGTTGATCAGATTGGCAATCCTGAAGAGACAAATATACTGAGTGAATGGAGAAACCTCAGCTAGCTCACCACTAAGAGACTAGTAATGTCTGTGGCACAGACTCTTCCCAAGAAATCAAACCACTCATCTTCCTGGCAGGTATGGTTCCTCTCTCAGAAAAGACTGACTTCGGACATAGCTTTCAAAGGCAACACCTACGTCAAGCCATTCAGCATAGATGCTCTTTCTAGTAGGGTGTTAGCTCTCATTAAGCCTTCATGTAAGAAAGGCCATCAGTCTCATCTTGTTCTTTAAGAATGGAGTAGTCTTGTCCAGGAACCGTGGCTCACACCTATAATCCCAGAGCTTTGGAAAGTCAATGTGAGAGGATCACTCAAGTTCAGGAGTTTGAGACCAGCCTAGGCAACATAGCAAGAACCCCTCACCTTTACAAAAACATGTAAAAAAAACAAAAAACAAAATTAGCTAATGTGGTGTGCGTCTATAGTCGCAGCTACTTGTAAAGCTTTATCCAGAGGATCACTCAAGCCCAAGAGTCAAGCTTGCAGTGAGCTATGATTGCACTACTGCACTCCAGTCTGGGTCACAGAGCAAGACTTTAATGAAAAGAAAACAAAACAAAACAATGGTACAGGCTTAGCCCTTAAATACAAACCTTTTGCCACTACCATGATATAATACCACATTTGAAAGATGTATCCAAGTGCCTATGCTACACAGGTACTCAGACAAGGCTGACATCTATTCTCTGCTCCAAAAGACATTGTTTTCTCCTTTACAACTAAAATGAATGGTATCTTAGTGCAAATTATAACTTCACCCTAAAGTCTGATTTGAAAAGTAAAAATAAAAACAGACAGATGGAAAACAAATGACTATATAGAAGATGAAAAGAAAGGAGAGGGGAGAGGGAAAAGGGGGGCAGAAAGGGAGAGGGGGGAAGAGGAGGGGAGGGAGAGGAGGGGAGAGGCACCGTGAAGTTTGCTATTTCCAAAACCATGTTCATTCCAGTAAGATAATGAACAAGAAAAGCAATTTTCATTTTCTCCTCTGACAGCTGGAGCATAAATGGCTGCTGCAATAATATCAGAAATTATTGGACATTTTGAGCATTCTTGCTAGTGAGAAGCCAGCATTCCAGCCAATTTGAAACACTGGCCTCAAGGTGCCCTAGAAATTTTGTTTTTCAAATGCAAGGATGTCAGCTTCTGGAGAAAAAGTGATGTATACTGTCTAGTGGGCAGCATGCTGGCCAGACACCAGTTGTGGAGTGTGTCTCCCTGTGCTCTGGGTTCTAGCTCAGTTGTTTTTTTACACAGCCAGTGCTGCCCCCACAAATGAGAATTTTTCCAAAGCAGACTAAAAATGGGAGTAATGTTTAAGATCCTTCAACCCAAAATAACAGTGAATTCTGACCTGTCACCTCTACAGATTCTGCAAGATGCTGGTTTGAATCCAAGGCTTGTTGGAGCTAGTCAGGTCTCTCCTTAAGGAAGTTGATTACTTCTAGTTCCAATCTAGTCAGGGCCTGTCTGAAGGGAGCTTAGAAAGTCCCAGCAACGAAAGTGGTCAGGCCTCAGAATTTTTTGTGCCTTTAAATAAGATGTCTGCAAGTTTGTAAAACATAACCATTCCAATGTAATCACCTGCTTATGAAAAAGACAGCATTACCAATAGAAGACTGGTAAGGCAAATATTTTATCCATACAGATTTCCAAAATGTACCTGCGACATCAAATGAACTTATAGAGACTCCTCATATTAAGCCAAAAAGCTGGTGGCAAACATTCGAGATAGCCTTGCAAGTACCAACTCTGATCACGAGGCATCAGTGCCTATAGCCTTCACTCCAGGGGCATCTACTCTATGTGACTAGAGCTTTATCTACTGCACACATTTTTCATAAAATGACAATGGAACTCTCCATGGAAAAAGGCTCGTTGAAATTTTTCCACAATTTGGAGGAATTCCTATCATTCTATGTGAATAATCATACTGGAGAGAGACATCAGACACAGACGAGAAATCCACACATCCCAGCATGTCTGTGTGCTCCACTTGGGTAGCCATTCACTGTTTCCCACCCCTCACAGGACTGTTCGTGTCATTCACAGCCTAGGAAGATACAATGGAAACAGCTTATACATATCTTGAATGTGTGTAAAACAACAGAATCCTGAGCAGTAAGTAAACACAAGGGCCATGGAGAGGGGAAACGGTAAGAATACCATAAAAGTCACTAGCCCAGAACACGCTTTCAAGAATTGTGCTTCAGCAGTGAGGAAGTGGAAAACCGTCATGAGTCCATATAACAGGAATTTTTCTATCCATTCTTTCTGCTATTATTGAGTAATGTACTAAAAACTTTTCTAAAAAACCCTAAAATTATTTTCTAAGCCTTTGATTGACTTTCTGATTAATAAGCATTGTAATATAGTGCTTTTTTTTTTTAACAAAGGATAGACATATCCTAACATATATATTCGGCCTATACACCTCTCAAATTGATTGATTTGCTGTTCTTCACATTAAAATGTGTTCTCTACTGAGAAGGTACTGAATGAAAAGCCCACATAAGACACAAGAAACAGAGGTGCAATGGTTACATAAAATCCATGAGGTCATACTGTACGCCTGCACAATAGACGTAGACCACTTGGCTTGATAAACTAGCAAATGATAACCAAGGACACTGTGTTTCTTTATAAATTATCTGGTATTTATTTATACAGTATCATTATATCACAAAGAAAAACAAAAAAATGTATGTTGAGAGAATAAAAGGACAGACAGGCAATCCATAGTTAAGCATCATGAGTAAAATTTACTGAAAGGAGTAATTTTTTCTAATAATGATTTATCAGGGAAATCTTTTTTCTGAAATATAAATTATATGTGTCAGTAACCCTAAACAAAGAGTGAATAAAAGAAAGGCAGAATGATAGGGGGGGAAAAAAGACAAAGTTACCATTCTTAGCTTAACCAGCAAAATAATAATGCTTAAAAAATGAGGCATTACATTTTCTTCCTGAAATCACCAGAATGTTAACTTAAAAAAAGAATTAACAGCAATTTGATGCTATAAAATACGGTACAGAGTAAATGTAAAGTTACCAGTTTGAGGCTCAGGTACACTTAATAATCACATAACTATTTCTAAAACTTCTTTTTATTTTTAATTGACTAAGTGAGGCACAGTGGTTGCTGTCATCTTAGATTATTTCTAATCAAGATAACTGTTAAGTGTCCTACCTATTCAGCCATTAATCTTTCGTTAGAAAAACAGAGAGAGAATACAGTCGTTTGACCTAACAAAAATAGCTTACTACCATAATTTTCCATCCAAAAGTCCAACTTTCTACATTGCATATAAGCGTAAGGTAGAATTGTAAGTTTGTACATCTTGCATACTGTAATATTCAGAGTCATACTAAACAATAAAAAATGTTATGATTTATTTTAAACCACCTAGCTGCCCCCAAAATATTTATTCTCAAAACCAACTCTAAACAGAATAGGCAAGTATCCGGTTATTTCAGTCAATGTAGAAATACAATAGCAATAATTTAAGCTAGAGTGGATTGTTTTCCTGATTCATCCCGCTGGAATGTTTTAAGACTAAAATAGACAAGTAATCCCCAGTTTTTCTTTCCCATCATACCGTTATCCCAGATAAATATAACTGCATTCACAGGTATACAATATAGTACTGTCCACACGGCTAGAGAATAAAACAGCTAGCATTGTACCAGGATGCCTGTATGTCTTCTCATTAAAGCAATAACAATATTCCCTCAAACACAAACTCATCACTACCTTTTAATGATTCTGGGCTACATAGATGAAAAGTTTTGCTTTAGTGCAGGTCAAGGTAGCACATAGCCTTTCATCTTTATTCATAATCAGCTCTGATCCTCTTGCTGAAAAAAAAAAAAAAAACAAATGCAAACATCCTGAACTCTTCACTGGGCTTGCTCTAATCAAAACGTTTAACAGGTTTTTGGGATCCATTACAAATTATTGGAAACAATCACCATTGTTAGTGTTAACTAAAGAAATCTTGTCCAATAATCACTCCAGATAATATGCTTTTTAAAAAACGCATAAAATGCTATCGAAATATTTGGTGCAGAAGTTAAATAAAGAATACTGCATCCTTAATTTTAGTAAGATTGTAGATGATAACCAGAGTGAAGTTACCTAAGCAACCAGTCTAAAGCACATGTAATACTCAAATGCATCTTTATTATGGTGTTGTAATGACTAGAAGTTTGTTGTTAATAGTTTTGCTATTAAATGCATAAAGCGGTCAAATCTTTTGTGGGAGAAAACATCTCTGGAATATAAAGATGTGGTTAATGATTTAATGGGCATATGGCATTGAAACATAAATATCCTTAAGCAGAATCATCAAAACAACACAAAATAAAAAATAATTTAGGCTAAGACAAAAAACTAGAATCATTTAGTTAGAAGTCAAATCATTAAACTATAGACATTCACACAGCCACATTCACTCCTGCCACACAACTGTAAAGTGGTCTATTTTTATTTCTAAAATGTGATACACTTGTGTGATTATTATAACCTAAAGGTTTGGGGAGAGTGTAAAAAAAAGCTTCTAAAATTATTATGTACGCTGTTAAATCATGTGCTTAACAAAATATTTGGAATGCCCAAACGTGCTGTTACTGCTCATGACAGATTCATCTAGGTAAAACCAGCAGGGAAAGTGTGAGGCCTTATTTACTTCGTTTTGTTTCTACATATAAACACCACTTGAGAATGTCAGATCATCTTCATGTATAGTACACAATCACAGGTTATTTGGGGAATCCACAAGGCCACAAAGTTGTTATATGCTCTGATATTGGGGTGGGGGGAGCCAGAAGTGCCTTTTTTCCAAAAAAGTGAAGAAATTCTTACCTTTCTGTACACCAGCATGTTGGGTGATTCATCTGCCACCCCGTTGCTGGTCTGCCCATAATTATTCCCCTGGGCCATGTCACCCACAACTTGATCCACTCTCTGATACAAGAATGTTCAGTTTGCCCTGCAAAGGGTTAGAGAGACTTCGGTGAGATTCTAGCGGTGGTGCTTAAGGGGGCTGCCTCCCCTGATTCACCGTCATTATTCACAGCACCCACCCCACACGGGGAGAGAGCTTACAAGCTGGGGCTGACAGGAAGAAGTGAACAGAGGACACACGTTTTTAAAAAATGAGTTTACACCTACAGGACCCCCCCCCCCCCAGGGAGTGTAAGAAATTACAATCCTCCATACAGAAATCGTCACTTGGCTCTGGTTTTCGCTGACTTCATTCTCTGGATACTTATTTTGAGAAGAGTTTGACGATCACCTTAAAAACCCATGGTCGCCACTTCCGCAGTACAGAGAGTTCTCTTCTCGCCCAACACTTGCTTGCATCTCCACTTGATGATGTGTTCCCAGAAGGGCGGAGAAGCAAGCCCCGAGCGGGCAACACACGTTCTCCCAGGGACCGGTCTGGCTTCCCACAGGCAGGCGCATCCGACAGGCCCATTCCCAGGGCCATTCTCCGGCACAAGTGCTTCCTCGGATCCCCCTGGGTCTCCCACACAGGGCCAGAGCGTGCCTCGCCGCTTTCACCTGCCGGCGCCG